CTGGGGTAGTAGAAATTACAAAACTAAAAGTTTCTGTTTCAAAGACTTTGCAATCTCAGTAAGAGTCATTTTGTCACAGAAGTCTTTACATAATCTCTCCAGTTGTGCAACTGTGTTGATTTATTGCTTATAACAGGGAGCAGCAGCAAAACCAAAAATCACTAAATAAACCATGTCAAACAATTTTGTGGAAGTACCTCCTGCCCAATCCTTTCCTTTGCTAGGGACCCCAGTGCAGCCTTTCCATATCCCCATTTCTCAGCTGTACTCCAGAACCCAGTTTTCTGAGGGTCACTATCCACCAGAACCTCAAGATTCTGCTACCCCTGTCCTGGCCTCAACCACCTCCACCAGTGCATTAGACAGTATGGGATCCCCAGTTCTACTATTCCAGTTTTAGACATGTCTTTGTCAGAGACTTGTCACGATCAGTAGCACAACAATTTTTGGATGCACTTGTGACAGGCCGGCCTGCCTCCCAGCACTGAACTCCAGCCCAATGGATGACATCCAGTCTTTATTGTGGTGATAGAGATTGAGATGAGATTTTCACTAGTACTGGCTTAGAAATTGAGGCTTGGATCTTTTGCAGAAAAAAGCACACACGTTGATCTATCTACTTGCCATCTCCATTTACCAACTATATTATAAAATCCTAGTTAGGTTACTGAAAAATATCTCTCTGCAATTTAAGTAAAAAATAAGCCTGCCAAACAAAAGCAAGGAAATTACCTATTACTGGCCTGATCAATAATATGTAATCTGGTTTCTGGAAACATTAGCCCAAGATATGCTTTTCACTTACCTGCTTCTATGTCCTTTAGCATCACAGCATAAGTACTACAATAAACAGTTCCATGATTACAAAATGTATGTATTTACTGTTCTGGCTGACCTTGGATTTATAGACATAATAAAATAATATCCAATAACTCTTGACAAATCTATTAAGATGAGTTAGGCCCAGTCTGTGTATTTAAAGACACAGGCTCTATTATTATGAATTGTCAGCGTTCTCCTTTATCTGTTCCAGTGCCCATCACAAATGAGACACAAAGCCTCTCACTGAGTTCTGTAATCTTTAGCTCTGACCCAGCTCTGTTCCCTGGCCTTTGGTTTTCACAGCATCCTGTGCTAGTTTTGTCAGTTTGGGAGAACTGCTTTGTTGTCAAGCAGAAACAGTTTCTGTTCAGAATGCATTCTGCTACAACTCCTCCTAGGGTGAGTACTGTTAAAGACAAGGTGTGTTATCAAAACGTATTTTTAGTGTTAACAACAAAACTGACATTACTTCTCACATTTTGTTGTCAGAGTTAAAAGCAAGATGGGTAAGTTTAGTATGTGCCACGTCTCATGCATATATTGGTACTAAAACCATTTACCCACTTCTCATAGGAGGATCCTTTTGTGCCATATGGCTTGATTTTCAATTATATGCACTATATTTTTCTGGTTAACCTGAAGACATTTAAAAATGCCAGAGTTTGGCTGTTTCTCCAAATTCCCTTTCTGTTTTGAGGCAATGAAAAAAGGAATGAAAAGTAAGAGTATGGTAGACTTGAGTTATTTATCTCGTTGCTAACTATTTTACAACAAAAAAGCAATATTCCTTTATAATTGCAAATCTTAGAACAGAAGGGTATAAACATTCAATTATAATTTTTTTAAAGATGAAATTTTAAAATTGGGACTTAAATCCCATTTTAATATCAATTTTTATATGGTGTAAATCAGATAGTAGCATCCAGTTTCACATAATTTATAGCTACATTTTATAAGCCTCTAAGTAACAAGTCCTTGGATAGTCTGATAGGGGCCACTTAAAAGACCTTCAGTGCACAAAAGACCTTTCCACAACTCTTAAAGTGTATGGGTGAGGGAGGTCAGGTTAAGGGCAAATTTAAGATGGTTGCAATTTACTCCCATTCTAAGGTCCCTTTATGTTACTAAAGTGATGTAAATGTTTAAGTCAGAAGCACATTTAAAATTACCAAATGAAAGGGGCTAATCTCCAAAAGCTCCCTGCCCGATTTTTTTTTTTGGCATAGAGACAAGTTTTTCAGCTGCCATAACTGAAAGGCAGAAATTGTCCTTAGCAAGAACCAGTTTCTAGTGCCATTAAGGTCTACAGAAGAAATCTACTAAAATCCCTTGTTGAGCTTCATCCTTTTCTCTCCCATCTGCTGAAAACTGTTTTAATATATTACACACTGTCTAAGAAATTTTCTTCTTCCTAACAGGATTTAAACTCTTTACTTTTATAAAATATTAAGAACAGGATATGTTATGAACTATTAAGCAAAATACATTAATATTTCAGGATAATATACATGAAAGGAAATAAATCAGAACAATGCTTCAATGTTGTGAAAGCCAAATAAGAAAATCCAAGCAATTCTTGTTGATACGCTTCCACTGACCAGGATCACCACACTGAGATACCTCCTGTTTCACACACAAATCAATCAACCCAAACACACACTTCTGTCAATATGATAACAGAAATTCAACTCTTTTGGTCAGTCTGACTGTCTGGCTCTACAGCAAGGCTTTTAACAATCAAAAGGTATACATGTGTCCTAAAATCAGGATGAGAGAAGACCACCTCACAGGGTCACCTGCTGAGGATGATGCACAAAAAATAAGGATAGGGGGTAAATCCTTTCTTAGGAAAGAATAAAATACACAGACTGACTTCATGCACAGTGTTTAGCTAAGAAGCAACAAGAATGAACACATTCTATTCAACAGCAGCTTTTAGGTAGTAAATTCAGTATTAAAGTATTAGTGACATTAACTAATATGAAAAAGTACAGCAGATGTAGATAGTGGCACTGTAGCCAACAAGGAAAATACTGTATTCTACCCTTTCTATGCAATTAAAGACTGCTGAAAAACTCTCTGAAGTCCATTTCTGATGGCTAAGATTGATACAAGCTTAACAATTGGAAGAGAAGAAAGGAAGAAACCTAAGGGATGTACTTGGAGAGTTTTTGCATTTTGCCTGTACTTTAATGTTCTGATACTGCTCTTGTTAACTCAAGCCCCCATTCAGCAAAGCACTTAATCACATGCCAAAATTTCATTGATTTCAATAGAACTTCAGCTTTGGATTAAGTGCTGCACTGAACTATATATTATTTTTCACTTTACCTTACTTCTTTCTGAACTTAACTACTCAAAATAATGTATTACTCAGTGTAAGGTAAACTGCTGGTTTTAGGCAGGTGACATAGTATCTGGAAACATCACTGTCATTCAATTAAAACAACTGATAAACACTGAACTATGCATAATGATGTGAACTGCAGTCATAATAAAGCTCTATTTTCCCTAATAGTTTTCAAAAAAGAAGGATGGAAGAAGAAGGCATCAATATTGCTAGAACTCTCGGTGATCTTTAAAGTACACCTACCTAGATGTACATCAGAGGAGAATGAGGAGTGAACTGAATGACTTCAGTGTCTGTCAGGACTAGAACTTCCACCTTCAGCCCTCTCTCATATTTTGGGTGAAGAATGACTGAAGAATTATTCTTCCTGGACTCCTTTGCAAATCCTCATCTACCCTGCCTAACTTAATTTCTGTGTTTGTTAGGAGAAACAAAGCTTTTGTGGAACTATCTATTTCATTAGCTTCTCTTCCCTGTTCTAGCTTAGGGATATTGTGACTGCACTTGGCTCTCATTTCTCATGCTACCTTTCCTTGTCCTGTAGTCAATATGATGATGTCAGTAAACACTGACAGTAAGAAATGATGTAGCTTAAGGAACAGGTGTGAGGTGCATCTCCAATAGGAAGATCTATTAGCACAGATCAGGGTAAACTCACTGCAGCAGAGATAAAAACAAGGATCATAACCAGGTCTGTAAAATACATGGTCAGATTTAATCAGTATTGTTTGTTAAAAAAGAAAAAAATTAATAATTTTGAGCAAATGTGTAAGGCAGTAAATGTGAACATTTTATTTCCAAAAGTTTTTGACAAGAGCATGTCTGGAAAAGAAGCAAAGAATGGTCACAGGTCAAAATGGTGTTTCTGCACCAGAAATAAAAGAGTAAGGTGAAATAGTTGGCTTCTGCCATGGAAACAGTAACTGTCAAAGAATCTCAGTTTTCTGTAGAAAGTCACATACTGTTATCATTAAGGATTTTCAAAGAAAGTGAAAAGCAAGTAGAAAAATTTGCAGGTGACTTTTTCCCCTTTGCTACATACAAGAGGGCTGTGGAAATGTAGGAGTGATTGGAGCCCAGACATATAGCTTAAGGAATAAATTAAATATTTGCAGGGATAACAAGAATAGCAGGTCATAATGATGGTTTCAGTCACAAGGACTACATGAAGCAGTGTGTGAAACATTAGCTTTAAAACTGTTTTACTTCTTATATTTGAAATAATTCCTAGAGTTAGACTTATGGTAAACAAATGCTTTAGAAGAAAACTATTTTCAAGGTAAACTGAGACACAACTATATTTTAAATTATTTTACTCTGTACATTTTTCTAGTGTTAAGAGCCATACACAGCAGAGAAAGTTATAAAGGACAATGTTTAATATCAGTCAAATGAAATACAAAACATTTTCACTATGACCCCAAATTAAAATTTTTAGTACAGTGTTCTTTTAATCTAGTTCAGTTCCTTCATCTTACTTTTCACACAGCTCTACCAGCAGCTGTGCCAGCACAACAGAAGGGATGGCACAGGGTGGGAACAGTAGCCAGGGGAGGGGGAGGCAGGAAAGAAGGGGTTAGAATTGGATAAATTAACCTTGCTGCTAAATGAGTATGTCCATTATCGACATCAACACATACAGGTACTGTTGCTCTCCTTTACTGCAATTGCTTATAGAAATACAGCTAAATGTGACAGTGTACACCTGCAAACCCAGGTCTAAACAGTGAACTAAAGTAGCTAGCTAACATGATATTTTTAATACATTACATGAACACACATAAACAAAGTTAACTGGAAGAGCTTATCAGCAGGAAAATACTCTTACCAGTATTAGTCAATAGAATGAGTGAGGTTCAGCTTTGTGCAAAAGACACATCTCTTGTAGGAGGAGATGGAGAGCTGAGAAAACTGTCATCTTCAGGGGTAGATTCAACAGCTGACAATGATTCATAATACTCATCCTCTCCATCCAGCACTTTGATTTGGCTTGAAAATAAACAAACAACACTCCTTAAGTTAAACACTGTCAATATCTTCAGAAATAAAAACTACTCTGTGGATGTAAAAAGGAAAAGCCCTACTATAAAAATGGAAAAAAAAAAAAAAAAAGATGGGATCATTTGATGAGAAAGACACAGCTTTTATACATATTCCAACTGCTATTATATTTTATATTCTGAATGGTTCTGGGGATCAGGGAAATACAATATCATCTTACAGTTTGGGAGTATAGAATGATAGAACATCTACTTGCACCAAATGGGCATTTAATTTAAGCAATGTGGATTTTTGTCTGTGTATGTTCCACAAGTAGGATATGATTTTGGTATCATATTTCAGATGATGGTTTGCTATGAATATGAGCCAAGGACTACAGCATCAAATTTTGGGAAAAGCCCTACTGACAGCAAGGGGCTTTCATTTTTCTGTGATGTATGATGAGCACTGCAGTCTGATGTTAGTGTTCTTATTCCCAGAATACAAACTTTTTTTAAACTAGGGGAGGGAGAGAAAATAAACTAAATCTTGCAAAATCTTGCAAAAATTAGGACTTTGAGCTTGACTCAAAGACATCTTGTTCATACAGTTACAATCAGAAGATTAATAAAAACCAAAGGAAAAAAACACAGAAGGTTCTGGTAAATTTCTGGACTAAATGTGTCTGTAAGCATCCATCAGTTCTCTCTGATCCGCGTGATCAGGCAAGTGAATATTTTGGCAATTGTAGAGGAGCCAGCCTAGTTTATTCTACCTATACCAGGAGGTAACTGCTCATGTAGCAATGAGAACTGAGTTAGAGAGAAGCAGCAACTCCCTTTTGTGCAGCGGCCTCTGTCAGCCCCTCACATGTGCATCCCAGGAAGACAAGAGGCCAGTGGGAGTGTGCTGCTGTGGGGCTGGCAGGGCTTCTGGCACTGCTCTAGGCCACAGCCCGTCAGTTCCAACATCCTTCAGCTGGCACCTTCCACGTGGGGGAAACACACTTCAAAATATGAACAATGCTCTTTTTTTGGTAATAACAGCACACAGAGAGAGCTGGGGAGCATATTTTGTAAGAATCAGATCTAGTGTCTGCAGACAGCAGTACATGCAAGTTTTACATTTGCCTCTGCAGAAAATGTCCAATGTCAATGCACAGAAATATGTTAATTGTTTATTTTTAGAAACCTCTCTAGAAAGTTTTGCATATTCTGTAATATCACAAAGGACTTCTTCTGTTTACAGTTGCTTAGAACTAAGAAGATAGATATTTACCCAAGTTTTCTTGGCTTCCTCTTGCTCCCTTGATATTCTAGAGTTCCCTGTGGAGAGGGCCAAGAACATACAGTCAAAGCAAAGCAGCAAGTCGTTAATTTTTAATTCAAAGTGATTTTGTGTTGAATGCAAGCAGATGCTGATAATATCAGAAGTCACAGCATAATTTTTTTGATCAAAGGGCTCAAGTGAGCCTGATGAAGCATGCATCTTGCTCGTCTTTGATAAACCACATCAATTATTCACCGTGAAGGCAGACATCCTGACATGAAAGCAACAGATAAAGAGCATAAGCACATGTTCAAGACGAGAGCAGAAGAACGTGGGGGTGGGGCTGGAGGGGCTGAAACAGGTATTAATAACAGAATTATTAACTGGAAACAAAGCCAGTAAAACAGCTTTATTGCCACTTTGAACTCACATTTAACTGGTTATAGTACATGTTATCCTCAGGGCTATTCAGCATTTTGGGCTGCTGACATCGTCGACGAGGTGTTCTCAGCTTCTGTTCAAGACAGTTTTCTGAACCTAGAGTAAGATAACACAATTTAGTTTTAAGCTGTGCCAGGTGCTGTGAACGTCTTAGCACATTTTAGTCCGTAAACAGTCTTTTCTTCTGTCCTATTTGGTCCTGGATTTATTAGCAAGTCTGTTCTATTCAAAGTAAGCAAACAGAAACTTGGGAATCTTTGTTTTCTCTTTTGAAACTTAGCTCAAGTGCAAGTTTTGATGCAGAACTTAATTTTCACTTTTTAACACTTTTTATTCTTCCGTATATCTATATCACACAGCTCCTTATTCCTTTCACACTTTTTCTTAATATCTTCTGTTATCTAAGCAGGAAATGAGGTATATTGTGACTAGCTAGGAACGTATCATTCAGCAGCAACAAAATAGATTTTCTACAGTAGACAGTAATAAAGTCTCTTGATTGATGAGACCTGGTCTATTATCATCATTTCCTTTATATAAAAAGGCTACCTTCTTCACATGGCTCTCTGTTTAATCAGATTAAATGAATCAGTTTGGAATTACGCTTTCTTCATATAATTTGTGATGTGCTGTAAGTTGCTTAAAGTCATCTGGAAAGCAGAATTTAAAGATGAAGTATTTCAGAAGGGTTTCTGAAAAGAACTAACAACTTGCTAAGTTTTGGATTTTTTTAGTGGTTGTTTTGTTTTGTTTTTTTGGAGGGGGTGTGGTTTTTTTTTTTTTTTAATGGTTTTTTTTTTAGAATTCTAGAGAAAAGACATTATGGTGTGCTATATTCTATTTTACCAGGTATTTTCCATGGTACATACTTTGGATTACAGGGTAACTATTTTCATTAAGTTAGTAAGTTACCACAAGATACTGTGGGAGTAAAGAAAGATGATTTACTTTTCAGATGATTATCCCCATGCATTTGACTTTTCTCATATCTCCCTGTTAAAAATTATTAAAGTGACAGTATGAATAAAAACAGTTTGGCAGCACTGAAGGAAAAATATACATCTTATACATTTGCATTCCATACCACAAAAGGAACCTGCTCCTATACAAAAGATCAGCACAAAGATCAAGTAGCATGAATTCCTTTAAATACTTCAAAACTGAAGTTAATATGGCTTTTGCAGATGCAGGGCTCTAGTCTCACAAATCTATTGACAAAATCTGGCCTTAAGGAGCAGGTAACATTACAGAGGTTTATTATGCACTCAGGCTTATAGTCTGTACCTGCAATCTGAACGAGGTAGAGGAGATGTTTGAACTTTGGCCTTTTCAGCCAAAGGACTGACTGTTCTTAGACATTTTCTCTCTTTCTTCTGCTCAACAATATAATTTAAAAAATATTCATTTCCTCTCAGTGTGCAACTGCAATGTCTGTGTGGGAGAGGAGCATTTGTTCCATTCCATCACAGCACCTGGGAGGGATGGTGGCTTAAATGACCACCAGAGCTGGGTCTAAAATTCAAACTCAATTTTATAGAGAAAGAGTGTATTTATCCACTAATGAAAAAAAACTTCAAAATAATACACTCATGCTGCTTGCTAATTTAATACCTAATGCTTCAGTACTTTATACTTTCAAAGCTAAGTAAACCTTTATTTTTTTGCTAAAGAGATTGTGATGGCTGAGCCAGAACCTTTGCTACTTGCCTATATTGTATACAGACAGACAAGGCAGAAACTGAGGAAATTGGGTGCCCAAATAATATCTGTTTTTTTGAAAGTTTTTTTCACTATGATTCAGATAGGATATAAATGCAATTTTGTTCTCTCTGAAGTCTGAAAATGTTGCAGAAGACCTGTCATAACTACATTCTAGCCTCTCTCTGCTTTGAAAGTTACTCAAGCTGACCTTAGAGCTTCCTCCTTCAGGACAGCAGGGTCTGCAATTTTTGCAAGCAATATTTTCAGTCATAAAGCTAGCTGAGTTTTTTTCTTACAGCAATATAGTTTTCGAATACCTCTCTATGAATTTTTTTATTCTAGAAAGAGGCTGGTATGAACTCAGGTACTCACTGTTCTGCATAATTTCACACACCTCTCTGCAGCTTGTCAGAAGTAAAAACATAGCACAAAAATATTTAGAAAATTTTAAACATTAAAATAATGTGATGGAGTAGTTTTCTTTTCCCTTTCCCCTAAGTGCTCTTGAGGCCTTTGCATGTTTCCTTTTTCAAAGCCCACACATATATAGGCTGGATTTTTAATGTCTTTCATTCATTAGGATTCTGAGTCACTAATATTTTGCTCTACCTTTTTATCCTGACACTTAATTATTTCTGTGTATCCTACGGGTGGTCTGCAGCTTGTGTTCTCCAAAGGAAATACCCTTTCAGTGGGCCCATTTGTCTTAGTTGCACACTACATGAACGGTACAAAATCTGGTAACATTTATCATAAACTACCATAGCTGGAGAAAATGGTATTAACATGTGCTCAACACTCAGCAGTTGAATAGGCATTTTAAATGCTGTTCTAAAATATTTTGCTTTGATGACAAACTTAAAGCCACCAATAAGAAAAAAGTCATTTGTAATTTAATAGAAATATTAGCAGCACCACCATCATTAACAAGGTATTATCTATACTGCACAGAAATTGTGCCATGTCCCTCTGGCATGTCCAGGCTCTTTAGTTTGCTACAAATTTAAAAAACAGATGAGAGGGTGAGCACATGCACTTTCTTCAGGTTGTCCTTTACCACCACTTTTTAAGAAAGAGATGTGACCCCCTTTTGTTTGGAAGAAAAACTTCTCTTGAATCTCTGAGCACAGAAATTCTTATTTGTTAAATTACTCACTGCAGTGCGGAAATAACTGAGAGCAGGCAAAATGCTCTCTGCCAAGTGCACTATGTCAGCTGATCTAAGTGCAGGGTAGCTGAGCTTCTGGGCATCCCCCTCTCACTTGGGCTCAGAGAGGCTGACACCTGGGTGAGCAGCCTCATGGATGCTTCCCTAAAGACACCACAAAACTGATGTGGCTTACAGGGAAGGGAAATACAAACTGGCTACTGGATCAATCTGTTGGAGTAGAAGGTAAAGAAAGTAAAGAAACTGATGGTGTTTCTGTTTAGTCCTCTATTACCACTGTTGGTTATCCTTTTAATTTCTTTGATACCTAAGAGCCCAAGCCAAAAAAAACAGGACTTGCAGAGCTCAGACAGATTAAAAAGAGATATTTTTTCAAGTAAATGTGAAGCCAAACACTCGAGATACATTTTCATAAACTGGGAATTATATAGTTGGAAAGCAGTGTCTCCAGGAGAGACTTGGGAGCTACAGATATTCAGCTGAATATGAAATGGACTGGGTGCAAAGAAAGGAAGACTACTCAACAGAAACAGAAAAACAGTCTTATTGTTGTGTACAGAATTATTTTAAGGTGAATGCAATAAAGAGCAGAATGTTTTGAGAACAGGAATAACTTGAACTCTGAAAAATCTGCCACATGGTGAGAAATACAAGATTGTTCTACTTCATTCTTTTCAAAGGAAGGTGAAGAGGTGATCTGAAGCAAAAGTGTAAACCTCTATATAGAAGGTGGAGTGTTTTTCAAATTCAAAAACAAAAGTCCAGACTAACTAATGGTCAGAAGCAGAATAAAATTTTAGACCAGAACTACAGCATATACTGAAAGCAATCAACTAGTTGAAAAAATATTTAGCAGTATGATGGAAACTCAGGTTGAGACTACAAACTTTTAGAAAGGCATGTTTTGACTTAAGCAAAACCTATTGAAGATGTGACAGAGATCACATCCATTTTAACAAAAATTAATTTCTCTAATGTGATTTTTATCAGAAGGCTCAGTCTGCAGAAGATCTGTATTCATCTTTTAAATTCTGGGATTAGTTTTTCCGAATTTCCACATGATTCTTCTTTGTTTTCTTAAGAAAAAAAATGGAATGGAAATACTTTTCTTCAGGTAGCCATCATATCCATTATACTGACATTTTTAATGATATCTGTTAGTTTGGAGATGATTAGCACATTTATTTTATCTTATTTAGAAGATTTTTCTGTTTAAAAACCCATCCTTTCCATAAGCTGCAAAGGACTCTTTCAGAAACACACAAACTGCCAAGCAGTAAGTTTTAACAAAAGACTTCAAACTGCTCTTTAGCACTGACACATGGACTTCATCATCTAGGATTTGGGCCCTGACCAATACTTTCAAAACAGTAGAGGCAAAAATGTATTTTTCTAATGACTTCCCATGGAGCAGTTGACTTCACTTCAGTCACTGATATTCAGTGAAGATCTCATCTTGGGTGTCCTTATTGTCCTGATTATCTTAGTATTGAAAGCATGAGTACCAAGCAGCCATGTCAGAAGAACAGATTTTGCTTGCTGAAATGAAGTTAGGGTCTCCATAAACTCCTAATGACTAAACTCTTGCTTCAAAAACCTCTTGGTGCTGACAATCTTGCCAAACCTTGCTAATTTTTCCTATATGGAGAATTCTGCACAGAAATGGTGAGGAAGCAGCTTAACTGCATTTGGAATTTGAAAAATAAGGTTAGGTGAATCGGATTGTTTTAAGGGTGGTGCAGCACACCTAGGGCTCTAAACACTGTTTGACATCTTACTTTTTTTGCAAGGAATGCACACAAGAGGTCTTTGCCAATGTGTCAGTGCCCTGAAGAGGCTTTGCTGCCAATTCCCTTGCTGAAGGGACTTCATCCTCAACAACACATACTGAAGAGTAGAGCTGAGTACACTCATTTTCCTTCTGAAGCCATTTACCCAGGCAAGTTTGGGAGGGGTTAGTCTTACCTCCTTTTCTGCTACAGGTGAACACAAACCTGGTAATCACAGGAAGGATAGTTTTTCCCTAATTACTCACAAAAGGAGATTTAGAGTATGAGAAGGGGCAGTTTGTCAAAGGAAAGGTAATGGGGCCATTTAAGGAATCATATATATGATTAACAGAGTAAGCAAATAAAGTAGAGAAATCACTATGACAAGAAAAATAGTAAGCATGTAGCTGATTTCCAATCTATAATATCAGATGAAACATGAAAGTGCAACCCTTAAT